CCTGTTTAACTGTGCGCACCGCGTATTTCTCTCCTCTACAATAGTAACTTGTAGCAACAACAGTAGGAAGAAACTTGTACCAGCAATAGACAGTAGCTTGTACCAGCAATAGTAGTTGGGTTGTAGTTTGTACCAGCAATAGGGAGTAGCTTGTACCAGCAATAGGGAGGAGCTTGTAGCAGAAATAATAGACAGCTTGTACCATAAAGAGTAGGGAGTAGCTTGTTCCAGCAAGAGGCAGTGGCTTGTGATAGTATTACTGCCGTTAGATGGCGCTGTGCTCTCAATGAGACCAGTAAATCCCAATGGTGATCATCATCCAAGTCAGCACATTTCCCAACTCGCTGGCACAAACCCATAACATGGGTTTGAAAGATGTTTCCGTATACGATTTAATCTTGAGAAAAACCCCTACTCATCAAGTTCCGATCACTGAAATGTAATTAACGCGCATTGACTAAAATGACACAACGTTTGTATTTTAGAGGCGTGGAGTCGTACTGGCTCGGGGGGAGATTTCACAACGGTGACGCATTTAATTTCACTTTATTGCAGTCATAAGTGTGGATGGTTGTAACGTGGCAATATAGCTTCCAGACAGTTTTAGACTGCATATTTGAGCAACATTTGAACTTTACGACATTATTACACTTATATCGCTCAGTTTGATAGAGTCTAGTCGTATCTTTTAGATTTTTCATGTTCGCTAAAGGTGTGTGTAAAATAAAAGCTAAAACAAATGTAAGCTTAACAATATAGGTTTTTGTAACCATTGTGGTTAGTAACGAATTTTTGGGACGGGCAATATACTGACACAATTTTGGTGCCTTATTCTAGTGAGACGGCCTGTGGCCACCTTGTTCTGTCCTGCAGAAGGCTTCACAGCGTTTCGTACAACCCCCCCCCCCCCCCCCCACTGACTTGTATGTAGGGTGTATCAGCATATATGCCTACAAAAGAAATGTATTTTTTGAGAGGGTGGTGGTGGCAGTGAATATTTTTTGGGGGTGGGCAATTTTTGTAAACCTGTTGGATCAACTTTTTACCTCCACATCTGGATGGTGGGGGGGGGGTTCACTTTCTATAACTTCTTGATTCAGGCTTTCTGAAAAGCTCAAATAATTTAGTTGATGGACAAACGGAACGCCGGGCTTTTATAATATACCAACTGCTTTTTATCCCATCTGTTTTGGTTTTGAGGAATATGATACTGTCTTTACATTTAGGGACAATGCATTATTGTGGAATCGTAATAGGTTTTTTCCCCCGAATGATTGTATCTATGTATGAATGGATGCGTGCATTTAAATTCAGAGTAAAGCCTTTGGGGTACACCCTTGAATAGGTGGCATTTTTGTACGCATTGCTCCCAATACCAAAAAGCCACTTCCTTAACCAGAGGCACCACAGATACACGCAGAATGGCATCCTGCACATGCTGGAGAGGAACAGGCGGCTCAAGCCTCGGCCCGAACGCTTCCAGTCGTGCCGCGAGCACTTCGACATCGTCCTCACCTGCGAGGAGCGCGTATACGACCAGGTGTTGGAAGGTGAGCGACAGTCAACAGGGCGGTTATCACTTTTAAAAAAGTAGACTTCATCAGGGACTGGCAAATGCTTTTTTTGCATTTCACAGTTTGTCAACCATACGTCAAAAGTGTAGATTATATTTGTCCCCACATTTTACCTGCAATTTTCTTTATAAAACGGTTCTTAACTGGCATTCTTGTAAATGTTTATTAAACGGAAGACGGTTAAGACATTCTCCAAAACCCATAGACTGGTGGAAATGTTCATCTATTGTGGCAATGTTCATCGAGCTCAATGGCCATAAGTCCTACATAGGTCATCAATACTGTTGTGTCAACAGTGGTTGTCCTATAGACAAGACTTGTCTCGGCCATGGGAATATGGAATTTCCCCTACTGGCTCAGTGGTGGTGGTAACTGAAAAATAATTCAATCTTAATTTGGAGCTTTCGTGACTGCAGGAATTACTATTTGGTTCTTTCGGTAAAGTCACGTATAAAGATAAAATAATAAATTAAATACTAGCATACGACGTTTCGATTGCAACACAAGCAATCATCATCAGGCATAAATGAAATAGAAACACAAATCAAGTATACTTAGAAATGGAATGTAATACAACAGAGAGTAGGATACATAACAGTCAACACCCTACCTGGTTGATTACGTTCTTCCTGAGAATGCTAAATTTGAGAGAGAGATAAAGCACAGAACCAGAAACATATAGACAGACATATAAGCAGACATATCACAGAGATACATAGAGAGAGAACAAACATATACGTGACTTTACCGAAAGAACCAAAGTGGAAAATAATTGCCACCTCTCCCTCAATCAAAGCATAAAACCACTGAGCAATAAGGCACGCGATGCTCTGAGCACAGTTACATCTTCTGGTGACCTCGGATGCCATAGCTTTGAAGCCCACTGATATTCGAAAGTTGAATTGCCAATGCTGCCGCCTGCTTTTAATGGCAATTGTAAAAAAATTGCTAAAGAAATTTGTTCACATAGTTAAGGAATCATTCTACATCACTCCAACATAATTTACTGAATTTGTCAGTTCAATGAAGCATAAAGTATTCTTCATGAATAAACTAAAATGGTAATCAAACTCTTTTTCTGAGAATATTAATGTTAACGTGCACTCGAGGACAGGTATAACGCATATCCTGTGTTTTTTTTAATATTTCATAATGTTAAAAAAATACTGAAATTGACCAGGCCTTACAAAAGAGGATGGTTTAGTTCCATGTCTAATTAATGATGCCTCTTGATTCCCCCTCCACCCCAATTACCCCCCATCAGATCTGAACTCAAGGGAACAGGAGACTTTGCAGCCTGTGCACGTCATCAACGTGGACATTCAGGACAACCACGAGGATGCGACACTGGGTGCCTTCCTGCTCCTTGAGATGTGCCAATGTGTGAGTGCACGCACACGCGCGGGGCCGGTTCACCGATCACTGCACCTGCAAAGCCAGTGACTAAAACCGCCCAGAATGCGCCCATTTTCATCAGACGGTAGAGATCTCAGCAGAGGTGCAGCCTGGAGGATAGTGCTTGGATGGGTGACTGCCATGCACACACAAGATGTCATAAGGGCTTGTAGTGGAGGGCCGCCGAAACCAGCAAAATCAATTGTTGTACTGTACTTCTATGCTTCCCCGCCTTCACCAACCTGCTCTGATCAGCGTGGTGAAATATCCCCACAACCTGGCGTGGGGAGGCCCTCATCCAGCAGCAGAGTGACAAAAGGCAGTACAAAGATCCCCCGTATAGCCTTAACAGACTAGGCGCAAGTGCTGTTAGCGAGCACCTATGAAGGCCGGAACGGTACACGAACGAGGGGGTGGGTGGTCAGCACCACACCCGACCGCCTTTGTCTCCCCAGTGGCGATGTTTACACACCGCACCAGGTACTCATTTAAGGCCGAGTCGACCTAGGAGAGGCCCAAGACCGGTTCAGATAATCGTCACTGGTGTTAGCCGTGAGTGGGAATCGAACCCGGGTCGCCAGGTTCATAGAGCAGCGCGCTAACCGCTACACCACCGCTCCCCATAAAGGCAGTACGTGTACATGCTGACACGCAAAGGGCATTTAGGAAAAAGCAAAAGGTGAACAATGAAAAGGGGTCTTGGCCAATCACGGTTGGCCTGGTCATGCAAAGTTACGGTGACGATTTGACTTCTTCAGAAGTGGCGTCTGCGCCATCGTTGTTCTCAAACTTTTCGAACGGCGCTTACACCTGCGCACTTTATTTATCCGCAGATCAAGCTCACGGATGACGTGGACAATGACATCGATGAGCTCTTGCAAGATTTTGAGGACAAGTGTGGAAAGCCCCTTCTCCACACGGTGTGCTTCTACTGAGAGGGTTGTTGACGCATGCAACACTTGGGACTCCGGAAAACACTGTGTACAAGCAGCCATGCATTTTTGTCAACCAGTGCATATGTTTGATATGTATTTCATTTATGTATAAATTTGTAAATAGGAGATATGTATGCTGATTTTCTGCGATTGTCATAAAATGAAATGTAAAACAAAAAAGCAAGAAAAGCCATTGCACCATAAACAGTTATCTTCGAGTAGAGTTTACTTGAAATTACAAAAAAATTACAGCAATAGCTTGGAATTTGCCGGCACAATATTTTTTTTTGCGCCGTTTGATTTGAATCGACTTAAAGAATTTCTATTAAAAAAAATGAGGTTTTTTGTTCCCGAGCCAGCGGGTACTTAAAGTTCACGGTGGGAAGTTGCTGCATCATTCCTGTGTTAGATGGGCAGGGATGTGGAGGGGTGGGGAACACGTGGACGTGACGTGTCAAAGGCTTTGCAGAGCTTGCCCGTTGAGGCGCGTGCGAAAATCTCAACTCCGTTCTATAAATCTTTGGAGAGCACTCGTGAAAAAAATGTTGGACAGGTGCAGATATTTAAAGATTTACGGCGTGGTGTTTGCTACCTAACAACGCAGCCTTATTTTTGTCGCCTTTCACCTACAGTTCTTTGACAAAAAGCTACATATACAGGCATAATCAAAATAATTGGGCATGACTTCTACGTTAATGCTCGGGCAGACATTTGCTTCGCGTTTAACACCTTGAAAATGTTCCACAAGCCAAACAGGTGCACGGTGTGTGCTGTGGTTTAAATTGGCCCCATGGGCAACGTGACATCTGGCTTGATTAAATGTACAAAAAAAAATGACAAATATCATGTCAATAACCAATGTGTTCATAGTTGCATGTTTGCTTCTTTAAATGGCCAAATATTTGAGCAAAACATGGTAAAGTTGAACTTGGCTAGTTTACAGTTATCCAGTATATGTTTTTTTTGGGCAATTGGATCATTTGTTCATGGAGAATAATTTATGCTATTTGGAATCTTAACCTGAACACCACAGGTGAGAGAGCAGAATATACTGTTTTGCTGCATTACACCCTGCATTTTGTCTTTATTTATACAAGCCCACAATAATGCTAAAAGCTCATTTCCTTAATATATTTTTAACAATTTATGGCGTGACATTGTATTTAAAATAAATGCACACTTGAATATGCAATGATATTGTTCGTGTGGTTTTTTACACATTCATTCTATGAGTTTCTATTTGTAGATACATGTGTAGTTGTGTATAGTTTGTCCTTCCCCGCACCTCCGATTATTTGGGGACATGCACATCACAGATCGCAGCATAAATAGTGCTGTCCTCAAGAAGCTTCTGGCTGGCCATCGAACAAAGACGATCACTTCATCGTGCGCTTTCAGATGTGCTGCAACCATCTGGAATGCTCTTCCCTCCGATATTAGGAAGCCACTGGAGCTATGCACTTCTAAATCATCTAGATTGAAAACTCATTTCTTTAGAACTTCTTTTATGCTTAGTTTGTTGTCCTTTCCCCGCACATTGCCATTAACACGGTTGGCTACGTACGGTGAGAAAAAAGTTCAACATGTACCACAATCATCTTCACTATGGGGACCTCATTTGCCAGTAAAAATATGATAATTGGTTCTTTACCCTTCTATCTGGCAACAAAACTGACACCTTTTTGATTGTGATAATTGGTTCTTTACCCTTCTATCTGGCAACAAAACTGACACCTTTTTGATTGTGATAATTGGTTCTTTACCCTTCTATCTGGCAACAAAACTGACACCTTTTTGATTGTGATAATTGGTTCTTTACCCTTCTATCTGGCAACAAAACTGACACCTTTTTGATTGTGATAATTGATTCTTTACCCTTCTATCTGGCAACAAAACTGACACCTTTTTGATTGTGATAATTGGTTCTTTACCCTTCTATCTGGCAACAAAACTGACACCTTTTTGATTGTGATAATTGGTTCTTTACCCTTCTATCTGGCAACAAAACTGACACCTTTTTGGTGTCAACAAAACTGACACCTTTTTGGTGTCAACAAAACTGACACCTTTTTGGTGTCAGTTTTGTTGCCAGATAGAAGGGTAAAGAACCAATTATCACAATCATCTTGCCATACATTGTCGGAATTGGTATACAAAATAAGGCATTTCTGATGTGCCACATTTTCAAGCCATAGTTTTGAATGGCTCTTTTAGCGTTTAATAAATGTATTATCCACCATAACTAATGAACTGCTGGAGGAAGGCCTCCGCAAGTCGTTACCAACCTCATGGCCCTGTGATGCCACGTGCGTTCTTGTGTACGAGCTGATCTCACCACGATGTCTGTGGGCTCCTTTGGTTGCTATTCCTTCAGTTTTTTTTCCCCATCGGCCATCGTTCTCTTCTAGGGATGCCTTGCCTAATTCCCACTTTATCTTTGTTCACAGTCAACAAGGTATCTGGTGATGGGCTTCTTTAATGAAAAATCTAACGCTGCATTTATACTTTTGGTAATGCGCTAAATCTTGATTTGAAGCTTTCGTGACTGCACGAATCCATACTGTTTGGTTCAGTAATTTCACGTAGGTAGAAAAAATAATAGATCGCTTTGCATTGCGATCGAAACGTCTTGATCTCTTATTTTGTCTACCTACGTGACTTTACCAAAAGAACCAAAGAGTAATGCGTTAAATGTGGGCAGTTTACATAATATTTGAATCTCAGGTTTTCATGATTTTTTTTTACAGTCTTGATTGCTAGGGGGTATGGAACCAGAATAAACGAAAAAGAGGCAGAGGATCGACAAAGGAAAAAAGTCTAAAAGCTTATGTGCAGTCAATCGATCTTCAATTCACGTGCCAATATCCCCCGTAATAAAGTGGCATCGGTGCACATTACAGCAGAACCGGGCCGCGACAGAGGGCTTAGAGAAACAGGAATGTAAAAAATTGAACCCGTAAAAACAAAGTTTTTCACTATAAATCCTTTATATGCGTGGCGGCTAGAGTCCTCTCGTCCTCTGGCTTGAGATGGCTGCCACCTATGGGTCAGATGATTGCCTGCCACCATTAAGCAATTGGTAATTAAATATTTTAAAAAATTCCTAAAAAGTGTAAAATTTTTGAAATTTTTTTCACGAAAATAAATTGTCACGCACAACGAGTCTGTGTGCAAAATGTCAGCTCGATTGGATCACGGGAAGTGGGTTAAAAAACGACCGAAAGATTTGCACGGTCGTAAGCGCGCAAGCCAGCAAGCAAGTGAACTTAATATAAAGGATTAAAAAAGCCCTGTGCATGTGGTGTGCGGCGCAAACACTCAGTCGGCGACGAGGTAGTTGCAGGAGGCACCGTCTTTATTTATCTGTCCACACCAACTCCGGCCGCCTCTCTCTCGACCACGCTGCTGTACAGCCCGGCCTAGACACGACCCTGTCCGCGTTGCACCGACGGCGTCGACCGAGACAGCCAACTACTGTCCGGCCGCTCAATGATCGGGCGAAGACGGCAGCGACGAAGGCGGCGATGACGAGACGAGTCCACTCCCAAAACCGGCAGGCCGGAGCTCTCGCTCTCCGCTGCTTAAATTCGACTCGGCGCAGCCTGGCTCTGCCCTAGCCGCGCCTCCCTTCTCGAACCCACCAGAGGGTTCCAGGGGCCTCCCTATGAGGTCTTCCGTGACACTTGCCCCAGTTTCTCCGCCCTGCCGGCACACAACGGCGTGTGTGCGCTAACTGGCCACCGCAGTTGTCGCTGCTGGACAGCAGTCGGCGCTGTGTCACTACACTAGTACAGCACACCGGTGTGTTGGAGAGCAAATCCACAACATTTACGTGACAAACCTTACTATTTGGCTGTGTCGGGTGGTGGCGGGTTTAACGAAACATGTATGTTTATATGATAGAACCCAAAAAAAACCTGTTATGGATGTACATACGAAATATGTGAATCCAAAAACAGTCTTTCACACGCGATTCAATGCGTGCATCGTGAGCTCAGCCAATATCGATGCCTCATTACATCCCGAACGAGCTGCATCAATTCAACTGGCAAAAACATTTACTCGTGCATTTAACATTTTGGTTCGAAATTGCTTTGTAAATTGTGTCGGGACAATTGAGCACTGAAAAACCAACTCTGCAGATTAATATAATATCACATTTTCTCGTGCATTCTGCACGCAGGCTTGCGTTGGTGATTGTTACAATGTCGTGTGACATAATGGTGGTTTTGGGATGTCTGTTCTGTATAAGCCATATATTTGCACACATTTGCATTTACGTCCAACCTGCACAAAGTTGTTTTTGTTGTTACATGGCTATGGCGTTCCCTACAGTTAGAAAAAGTGCCAGAATGTGATTATATATGTGTTTTCTGGGAAGCCTGGCTCATTGATCGGTCAATATTCTGCCATAAACTGAACACACGTGTTATTCTCTGACTTTACGGGTGTGGTTTAGTCCCAACCCATATGGAGACTTCGTCAACATGTTTTGCCCGTGGCAACCGCACTTTATTATTGGTGCTAAAATGTGACGTTTTCATTCCCTTTGAAGCCTGTTTAGCATGGTAAGGTTTCCTATTTTGAGGTAATAACAAATAGCCCATAATGATTTAAGATGTATAAGTTATTTACGGGTGAAAACCTTCATCCCCTCCATGGAGATTCGACAAATTGTACGAGACTGGGAATTGATTTAAGAATCAATTGTCTTTTTCGTCTCATTTACAATCTTGCTTCCATTTTTTACGTTTTCAATTAATGGTTTTGTTCGCTGCATTCACCACTCCTGGGTTAATTGCACAAAGTAGAAACCACTGCGCCACCAATCCATATCATATATATCATTTGCTGAATTCAAGAACCATGGAATCGTACACGAGTTGACGCATGTATCGTGAGACGAAAGCATCCATATGAAGCAGTGTCTCGTTGCACCCTTTGACAGTGAGAGAAATGCCACTGATGTATTACCGCAATGTACTCACATTGTGAACACACGATGTGCCAAGGGGCAGTTGTCAGGTGTGGCATTCTACTTTTTGACTTCACTGAGAGTGCAAACAAGCCCAGAGCTAAGACGCGGAGTCAAACTGCGGGGGGTGACCAAATCGTTTGAATGAATATAATTAAACGTGAATGTCCAAAGATGACACAACTAAAGAAGAAGACATTAATTAAAACGCATCGTTGGCATGGATGCAGTAGGACAATACAGATAATACAGCAGCACTTTAGCACGGATATATATATAACATTGTTTAGCAATAATATATATATTTTAGGTTAGATCGCGTAAATATATAAATGTGTCGTTTGTCACATTAACAGAACATGCCAATTCGCTACGAGTAGAGCACACCAGTGCGTTGGAAAGCAAATTCACAACATTTACAATCCAAGTACTCAGATTGTAAATGTTGTCGATTTAATCTTAATTTTGGAGCTTTCGTGACTGCAGACAGACATATAAGCAGACAGACATCATAAAGATACACATGATGTCTGTCTGCTTATATGTCTGTCTATAGTTTTCTGGTTAGATTTTTGTTGCTATTTCTTTTATACCTGATGATGATTGCTTGTGTTGCAATCGAAACGTCGTAGTATGCAATTATTTAATTTATTATTTTATTTTTATACGTGACTTTACCGAAAGAACCAAAGAATATGTTGTCGATTTGCTCTCCAATGGCACGTTCTGTTTACGTGACAAACCTTACTTATTGGCTGTGTCGGATGGTGGCGGGTTCAACGACACATTTATATTTACGCGATCTAATCTACAAAAAAATATATTACGGATGATATTTGTCGCGAACGCTTACGTGTTAGGTACGTCCATAAATGACGTCACGCGATTTTGGACGATTTTTGACCCCGCCCCCCTCATCACACGGCGTCACAAAAAGTCAGACCCCCCCCCCCTCAAATATGACGTCACAAAGATCTGCCCCCCCCCCCCCCACCAAAACATATTTTCATTTTGAAAATAGAACATGCTTCAAATCGCTTTAAACTATTGTCATTGTAGTGCGTATTTAATGTGGCGCTGCACTCTGATGTTGTAGGCGAAACATTTATTAAAAAGTCAATTTAATTAAGTAGAATGTGTCTATATTTAAAGTTGCGCATTTTGATGTGACGTCACATTTCTCAACCCCCCCCCCCCCACATCACACATCGTCACAA